TTACTGTGAGCGGTCTCACAGACCACTTTAAAAAAGCACACAAAAATACATACTGTTATGCCTTTTTAAGGAATGTTATGGATACTTTATGCATATTTATAGAATTCTAATTCATTTAAATCAATATATTTTTTTTAATAAATCATTTAATTTTACGCTGTTAAATTCATATAAAAAATTGCTATTTTCTTCGTTTTAAGGAACAAAGCTTTTAAAGAACAAAGATTTTATTAAACATGCATGAAAATATGTGACTTTATCAAGTATTACTGTCAATTAAACCCTAATTCTACAACAATGAATTTAATTATTAATAAATAATAAATTATTATATCTTTGTTTACAAGGATGGATGCATCATAAGATGATACACAGTCAAAACACATTTTTTTGAGAGCACTGAAGACATACTGAAACATACTGACTTGGATGCAAGACACTTGCATTCCAAGCATTTGTGTGCTGTTTTTCTCTTCTTACAAAGTGAGCACAGACTACATGTTTTCTTTCACCTAATCTTCTTGATTTGATAAATCCATTCTCTTAATTTCCTTCTGTTCAAGGATTTGTCTAATTGTTATCTTCAGTTCCCTTAGCAAAACAGCTGAAGTTATCCCAACTTTCAGACGCGGTTTAACAAGTGTAGTAGCTAATAAAAGCAATTTTTTTCCCTCAGTTTTGTAGCATCAGGATATGACTGGAAGAATATATATGAATATAAATTCGAAGTATCTTCGGGCTCTGCTCTAGAGCCTATATTTGCAGGATGTTTCAGACCAGGGAGCTGAACTTGTGTATTATGTGTTCGTACCGCCCGATTTGGTTCTTTTTTGCCCCATTTGAAGTGCTTTTTTCAATAAAAATTATCATTTTGTTCACAGTCATTAGAAAAATTATGATATTCATCAGCAGAAATCTCAGATTTATTTTTCCTTTCGCTGTGAATACAACATGATTCTTCAGAATCAGAGTATTCTACATAAAAAAAAAGGGTTGACAAGATATTCAATTTCTTTGAGTGAGATATACGTAATTTTTCTTGTAAAATTTGAAGCCATCTTTATCACTTTTATGAAAAACAAGCATCCGATAAATAACGTCTATCATCGACTAAAACTGGTATGCATCTTCTGTGAGCGGTCTCCCAGACAACTTCAAAAGTAAAAAACATGGTAACTGAAACCATAATACAGCTAAAAGTGTGAAACTGGATATGTGACCTTGTGGGACACATTTGGGAAGGTAGGAGGAAGGACAGGGACCATTCTCCATATTAGGGGTGGGAATAACGGTTAGAAAATCCTCAGCGGTCTCCCAGACCGCTTACAGCAGCTAAAGGTTAACAATGAAAATTTATTTAGAAGATCTAATTGGTTAAAACAACCTAAAGAAATATGACCTTGTAGTAAAAGTGAGATTGATCCTTTGACTATGGAGGAAAGAAGATAAAAATTTAATATATCTGTGAAAATAAAAAATCAGTATTGAAAATCATCCAATGTTACTGCCTGCAAAGCACAGATTCACTGAACTTATAATTAAGGATGCTCATGGGAAGGTATACCATGCAGCAACTTGTGATATGCTAGTCTAAACTCAAGGTTTTGGGTTATAAGACAAAGACAGTACATTAAGTCTATTCTAAAAGGATGCAAAATGTGTTGTGAGGTTTATCTACTTATTTTTAACTAATAGTTCATTTCAAGTTAGCACTTTCCAATTACTCTCTTTTCAACCATGCTTTTCGTGTCAGAATGTAAATGAGATAATTAAAGTTTATTCACATTAAGGTAGGATGAAGAGCTATTTAAGCCAGAGTTTCTGAAGTTAGTTTTAGAGAGTGTCTGTTTATTCCAGGCCACGTTGTGCTGTGATTATTAACAACTTGCGTTAGCGGTATTGAGTGTTCTAGCCACTAGGTTTTGTCTTGCCGGTTTACTACAAACCAGAGCTCTTCCTGAACATTAAAGTATTTTGTGAGCCATTAGGCTAATCTACTACACCTTGAAATTATTAGTTGTTATGTTATTCTGTTAGGCCAGACACTTCTTGTAACCCAAATTGGGTCATTTGTTAATTTTATGTTTGAATAAAAGGGTCCTATACACCCTTCTACTGATTTCTGTTTTGTTTCACAAGACTAGAAGATACTTCTTCAATAGTCCTTCTTAAAGTCTACATTGTATATTTCCAGAGAGACACAGACCTTACAGTGTAAACTTTATAATGCTCACCCAGGAATCAAGTTACACCATTGCCAGCAGATAGAATTGCAGAATCACCCCATTTTGCAATAGCAGAAATAGACTTTGCTGGTCTGCTCTTTGTGAATAACAGTGATAGTAAATTTGATATACTTTTGTTTACTTTTGCTGTGATGCGAGCAATCCATCTGGAATTAGTTCCATATGTGACAACAGAAGAATTCATGCTCGCTTTCAGAAGATTTATATCTAGAAGAGGTTTGTGTTCCATCATCTACACAAATAATGCTAAAACATTCAAGTGAGTGGAAGCGGACCTAAGCCTCTCGTTACCTTATTTCCAAAATTGCTATTACTAGAGTGCTGGAGATTACAATTAAATTGGGATAAAAAGCTCTCTGAGCATTTAGAAAACAAGTCCAAGAAAAAGAACTGGAGCTGCTGTTTGATGTCAAAACTCTTAGATGGTTTAATATTGATAAATGGGTTGATGAAGAAGTTACTCTCCATATCTTCAGCGATGCCGGCAAGCATTCCTATGTTACCTGTATTTTTTTTTTTTTTTTTTTTTTTTTTTTTTTTTAAGAATGAAGACCAAAAATGAGATTTACCTAAATTTTCTGCAAGTGTGCACCATAGTTGCCCGCCCCTTTAAAGAATGTATCCATCTCTCATTTGGAATTACTTTCCTGCTTAATTGGAACATGCTTAAAAAATGTGGTCATTTCAGATTTGAACATGCCAAATTAAGAACACTATACTGGATTGACTTGACAACTGCTTTGTGATGGATCCAGCGAGATGTACAATGAGCAACTTGTGTTTGGAATCGTGTCCAAAAAATCAGAACACTTTGAAAAATAGGAGATCAGTGACACATCCCTTCACAGCTGAATGCAGTCAGTGTCCAAAAAATCAGAACACTTTGAAAAACAGAAGATCGGTGACTCATCCCTTTAGAGCTGAATGCAGCCAATCTCCCTTCTAGGCTCTATTCAATTAAACAATTTCTGCAATCAAAATGGTTGAGAGGGTGCATGGTAGTCAGAACTAAAATCATCATGGCCCAAAACCACTGACTTCTCGGACAAAGAAGTCATAAATTCAGAAAAGCATAAATCAGTATTGACAACTCTTAACAAAGATTCTAAACTTGATACTGATATGGTAGACAAAGAAAAAATCTACAAACTCAAACAAGAACAACTCAAAGTATGATTCCATGCAGAGTATTTAGGATAATTATATCAACAATCCATTTAAAACTCTATGGATAAACCTCTCAAGGTGGGTGAAATTATTCTACTGGAAGATAGCAACAAGAAACATGCATTTTGGAACCTGGCACATGGGGTAAAACTGATATCTTGTCAGGATGAACAAATAAAACTTGCTATTATAAAAACAGAGACTTCTGAATTTCTGAGCCAGTACAAACAATGTACAAACTTCAGCTGGATAATCGAGACCAAAAGGATGCAACGGAAAATATTCCTACAACTACCAGTAAAGGTAGAACTGTGAAACCAGTAAGACATTTTTGAAATGTTGAATGAATTTATGAAATAAAAAAAAAATTCAGGTTGTATTTGAATTTTATTGCGGGAAGGAATATGTCAGAAATAGGTTTCTAATTTGTTCAAGAGATGGCAGTAATTACCATGCTTCTTTTGCAATTCTATCTTGTCAATGACCATGTATTGCCTTCATAAAACGAAAGTATGTTGTTTTGAGTGGAAGCTAGGATTCATAAATGTGATATTGCATACAAGTTCGATCTGTAAATAAAAGCATATTTTTGTAGAAAATGGTGTTCTTCATTCTCTAAAGCAATGTGCAGAATACATACACGTGTCTAATCTGATTCTGAATACATCTTCAAAGGGGATCCCCACAGGTGGTACCTTAACACTTTACCAATCGATTGCCTATTAGGCTTTTTTTTTTCGTCAATGCCTACCAACCGATAGCCTATTAATCAGCTTTTTTCCACCAATGCCTAACGATGGATAGCCTACTCATCACTTTTTTCTTGGGGCTACCTAAAAATAGCCTATCCATCGGTAGCCATGGCGATAAACAATTGCCATTTGCTTTATCATCTGCATTTTATTATTAGGGAGAATCTGCGGCTGAGCGGCCAGTTGAATACACGTATTCTGTTGAACCGCTAGCAGTAAGTAAAATGTTACGTTACCACAGTTAGTACCAGCTCTTTTGCACACAAATTTGGTAAAGTTTATTGAATTAAAAAATACTAATACATATTCTTAAAAAAATACCAATCAACCATCAACGCATTTTAAACATTTATTTTTTAAAAGTAAAACAGAATTACAGTACCTCAATACTTGTTATTAATACTTATTATAGCTAAATTCAGTTTTTTTAAAAAAAAAAAACTTAAACCTGATTACCTGCTACAAAACCAAACATTTGGATATGACGTTTTATAAATCACTAATATTCCATGCAACACTTGATAAATTGAAAATAAAACTATGAATTTTATACATGAAATGTATACAGAATTTGCAAAAGAATGAAAATGTGACACATATTACAATTGGAACGTTTATTACACAGAAACTTTTAATAGCCAGTTTATTATTTTTTGTAAGTAGCACAACAAAAATAAATGTATACACATATTATATATATATATAAACTAAATTCTCATTAAAGAGTTCTTAAAAAAAAAAAAAAAAAAAAAAAAAAAACCTGAATAGCTGCACAAAGCTAGAAACTGAAATACTGTAAAACTAAAACTTATAACACAAGCAAAAATAAATATACCTCTTTGCTCCTAGCTTTTTTTGATGAGCGTGATACAGAAGACTTGAAAGCAAAAGGGTTAGTGAAAATCATGCAGAATCCAATCACCATAGAAGAAACGCAAAAGAAAAGAAAAACTAAAACTTAAAAAAGTTGGTTGGTAAACAATAAATAAAGAGCGGGAGATGTTAATAATGTTAGTACAGAAATAGGGGAAAAAATCAGGCAGATAAAAAATAGCAAAAATAATGTTCAACAGCAAGATATTTAAGAAATAAAATAGCAGCCCATTACACAATCCAAAATACATATTAAGGCTTACATAACTACAAAAATTGGGCAATATCAAAATTAATTAAGAGAATTAAATTAAAATTTTAATAATTAATAATATGTACAATTTAAAAATTTAATAATATGTATTTTATATTTCATTCTAAATTCATTTAAAAATAGAAGTAAGATAATAAGATTTTTACCCTAACAGCAATAAGTAAGACTGTAACTGCTTCCTTTATGCGGTAGTGATTTGTTTTATTCATTAATTCTTCATATAGATAGATACCAATACTGTTAATAGCTATACATCTACAGATAAAGAGAAAAAATTATTAATGCATAAATATAAAATTTTGCAAAGTATTATTCAAAAATGATTTTTTAAGATGCAAACTCTAAAAAAAAAGTACATCAAATTTATTAAACAGTGGACTAGCTAAAATTTTACAATAAGATTATAAAATAACATGTAAGAAAAGTAAAAGAAATATTTTCTACAAACATTCTTTTATCTTCTATATGAAACAATATTTTCACAATATTAAATAATGTATTAAATTTACATCATGTACAGAAAGACTGTGAAACTGCACAGAAAATAGAGAATTATTAGGCTGCTACACTGATGCGACTAGAAACATTCAAGCATTTGTCACACATATAACTGAAAAGAAAAAGAGAGCAAAATCTTACTATTTTTAATCAGTTTTAATGATTTATCAAGTATGTCTAAACAATATTAAAAGATAACTAGAATTACTAATTTCAATCGTAGCAGAACTACTAATTTCAATAGTTCTCTTATACCAGTCCCTGACATATTTGTGATATTCAGGAATCATGAAAAAATAAATAAATAAATAAATAAAGGTTCCACCGAGATCTGTGTGACAAGAGACCAGGTATGTGTTCTCCACAATATTCATTTCCAGGCCTGAAGAGTATAATGCAGTTATGTATTACTTATTCGGGAAATCAATTCCCAAAGCAGAAGTAGCACGTCAGTGCATACGATTTAAAACACTCAATGTGTTTGGTTTATACATCTAACAAGATATTTTCCTTTTGTAGTATATTCGGGAAAACATTTTCCCCATTAACACGTAGCACATCAGTGCATTTTATAGCACGTCAGTGCATAAGAGTTTTTAAAACAATCAAAGTGTTGCATTTATATATCTAACGAGATATTTTTCTTTTGTATGATAATGGGAAAAATCCATTCCCGTAAATAAACAGCACATCAGTGTATTTATGTTTAACGTTTCGCTATAAATTGGTGTGATAGAAAATCTGAACTGTTTATTTTGTGTATATGTGAAAGCACATCAGTGCAATATTGCAATTTTCATTTCTAAGTCATTAGAAGAAAATTTATGTTAAATTCTTGTGAAAGAAATAAGTTGTTGAATATATTAAAAAACTTGTTACTTTGGTTTTCTCATGAAAGCACACCAGTGCTGTATTTTAATATGATGTGTATTTTTCTGATAAGTAGAATGTTAAATTTTATCATTTCATTTTTAAAATTTTAAAGCTTTGAGCAGTAAAGAAAAGTTCTAATAGTGTTCTGATTTTTAAACCTGCGCCTATCGAATTTACGTAGTAATTTGCGTTGGCCATGTGGTTGCCAACGGAAGTAGCTGTCATGAAAACGATAGTTAATTAAAGGTGTTTATATTTATTGGCGCCACTCTCTGGTTTTTTTTCTGTCTGGCTGTACTAAATGAAAAGAATTTGTTATTAATTTTTTTTATACGAAGTATTCAGTAAGGTTGTTTATTCGTTTTATGTTTGAATGGAAATAAATCCACAAATGATTAATGCTTTTATTAACCTTTTATTTTATTTGCCTAATTTTGTAAGTAAGAAAGAAGAAAGTGTTTTTTATATCTCTGATATATTTTTATGTGTATTATTTGTGAATAACTATTTGAGTTCTTATTTGTTTTGAACAATTACTTTTGTGAAAATGGCATTTTTGGGGAAAGCTAAGAAAAGGGATCTATTCCTTGTCGCTTCAGAACTTGGGGAAATAGCTTTAGAAGATATGAAAGTGATAGATTTAAAACAATTAATAACGAATAGTAAAAATTATGAGGAAGAATTTGTTAAAAATTTGTTAGAAAGTATTATGACTGATAGGATAGAAAAGGAAAACTTAGAGAAGCAAACAAGAGCGAAAGAATTACAGTTAGAACAGGAAGCTAGGGAGAGGGAATTTCAGATACTACAACAAAATAAAGAAATTGAAAAGCAACAGTTAGAACTAGAATGCCTTAAAGCAAAACAGAACACTGAATCTGCTAAAACCTGGAGGTGGGTGAAACGGTATTTAATCAGAATTTTCAGAAACTTATGCCCAAGTTTAATTTAAAAACTGATGATATCAGTTTATTCTTAGAACTTTTTGACAGGCCAGCTAAAGTTCTAAAATTGCCCACGGATCAATGGGTGTCATATCTCATTGGTGTCCTTCCGGTTGAGGTAAATAATATAATTGCTAGGGAACCTGAAGAACAGGCTAGAAATTACCAACATATTAAAGAATTACTACTTAAAAGATTTAAGTTAAGTGCGGAGAAGTTTCGGCAACTTCTTGTTAAGACTAAAAAAAAATCCGGATTCTACGTGATAGGATTTTTATCACGAAATTAAGACATTTTTAGATGGGTGGCTTCAAGGGATTAAAAATCGAAACATTTGAGCAACTCAAGGATTTAATGTTGGTAGATCAGATTAAAAGGCGCACGCCTAATGAGTTTAAGGAACATTTTATAGATGAATGGGCCACGATCACTTCACCAAAACAGTTGGTGGGTAAAATAGAGGAATTTGAAGATGCGAAAAAGACGATGGTTGGGAAAACGAAATTGGGTGAAACTGAAAACGAAAAATATCAGGTAGACAAATGGGTGTTTTTCAGTCCACTGGTAACGTTTTCAAAAATAGAAAAAACCCTCAAGGCACACAATTTAAAAAAGATGATGATGCACGCAATGTTGGGAAAAAAAAAGTCGGACTCGAATTTTGATAGGAGAAAAAGACTCCAGTGCTATGAATGTGGATCTTTTGACCATTTACGTCCTCAGTGCCCTAATTTAAAACTCAAAAGGCAGATTTGTATCGGATAAGCGGGAGATCAGAGAAGAATCTGTTAGATCCCTATACATTAAATGGAAGAGTAAATGGTTTTGAAGTACCTATTCTAAGAGATACAGGAGCAACGGTAGATATTATTTGTCAGAAATATGTAGACAGAGATAGAATGAAGGGAGAACACGTGTGGGTTCGACATTTGTTGGATGATCATATGACTTGTTTACCTGTTGCTGAAGTAGATATTGAATGCGATTTGGGTACAGTAACCACCAAAGCAGCTGTTATAGGAGACCACTTAGACCAAGGACGATATATATTAGGCAACCAGACAGCGGCTCTTCTCAGAGGAACTGAGAAAAATTATTCGTCGTATGTCGGTAATGTTAATGCGGTCGTTACTCGATCTCAAGCACGACAATTAAAGGAAGCGGAAAATTTATGTGAGACGAATCAAAATTCTGAGCAGAATGAGTTAGAATTGGAAGAGGAGGACGATGCTCATGAGAGGGTCTGAAAACAGAGAGAGATATTGCCTCCTGTCGACCTTTGTGTCCCCACAAGTCCTGCAATTCAAATTGACTCAAGTACTTTCATTGATGAACAACAAAAAAGTAAAGAACTTGCCCCTTTATTAGAACTAGTAAAAAGCGGAAGTAAAACAAGTTATGGGATTAAAAATGGGGTTTTAGTAAAAAAGAAGGTAAAAATTAGTTAGGAGGAGAAGAACATTTAATTGTTGTTCCAGAAAACCTCAGAGAGCAAATTAAAGCAATTTGTCATGAAGGAACTTCAGGTCACTTAGGAGTTCTGAAAACAAAAGACCGGTTACTAAGACATTTTTTCTGGCCAAATTGTTATAAAGACAATGAGGAATTTGTTAAAACATGCGACTCCTGTCAACGTGTAGGAAAGGCAAGTGACAAAAAGAAAGCACCGTTGGTAATGGTACCTGTGATATCTGAAGTCTTTAGTAAGGTTAATATAGATGCTTGCAAGCCTATTCCTACATCTACTGATGGTAATAAATATCTTATTACAGTTATGTGCTTAGCATCTAAATAGTCTGATGCCATCCGTCTGCAACAAACATAATAATTATCCAACTATAAAAGAATGCTTTTAAGTTAATTACATTTTGAAGCTTAAAATTCTCGTTTTTACTCATTTTTCCCCCATAAATATTTCTAAGAATTTTATAACAGAATAAAAAGTACATGTTAAAACTAACAGAAAATTTTGCAATCCAGATGATTTGGCTGAAAGTTTCAACTATATAGTTGATCTATTCCTCATACCTGTAACAAAGTTATCCTAATGGTAATTACAACAAAGTTATATCTATATTAATAACACCGAAAATACATGTCTAATAATTAAAACAAAATTACATACACACATGTAACATTATCATATAGAATAAAAACTAGAAATGTTTGGGTAAATCTATTGTTTATGTTGATTGAAATGTAGCCAAAATTCATTTATATGATGTGAAAAACTTGTCTTACCTAGCCAGACCAGCTGGCTCTCGTTTCCCAGCTTTGAACAAAATACTAGTTATATGATCCTACAAAAGAGGAAAAGAATAACTTAAAGTACAAAAAACTCACAAACAGATTAAAACACTAGTTTGTATGATGACCAGTTATCACATATCATCATGCTCATTTATACTATACAGATTAGATTTAGACTTAGAAAAATCTGTCTGTTAACCCTTTGAGGCGCAGTGGTCGCGCCCTGAAACCATCAATTTTCGAATTTTTTTCTTTTCTTTCCGAAATTTTTGAGTGAAAATCAATTGATTATCGATCTTTTACCTCTAAATAACACAAAATGACTGCAGAATCATACATGTTTTATGTCTTAGTACTTCAAATCGGATGCCTTTTAAAATTTGTTTTCAATGAGACAAAATAACTTCCTTTTATTAATATAAACAACTTTAAATTTCAAAAGTTATTCATCACACATCATGATTTCTATCATAAACAATAAAAAATTTCAATAATTAAACTGCATATATAAAAAAAACCTGTCTATATTTATGGCATTGCTTTGTGGTTTCAGGGCGTGATCACTGAGATACTAGAGCATTGTGTCACAATGCTCACAATCCTCTACAGGCACAGTGGTCATGCCTTGAAACCATTGCTCTTCACAATGGCGTTTGCTTGCTTTTCAAATAGGAATGTTTATCTTTACCCGGATATAGATAAGAGGCTTTGAAACCACAGAGTTATTTTATTACTAAACAATACATGCACCAGCCCAGTGAAAAGGTCTTCTTTTAGAGAGATTTTTCTCTGACCTCAACACACTTGCTTCCCAAGCTAGTATTGTGATTTTATAAATTATTTCATGTGGTTGAAATTAAATGTAAATATACTTTAATATAATTAAAAATAGAAATTGCACAAAAGCTTTATTTAAATTAAAAATATTTTCTAAATATTTTGGAACGAAATAGGAATAAAATAAATATGAATGGGAAACGAATGATTTGCACCAAAGCCAAAAAGACCAAGCCCCCCCCCATTAACATAAAAAAACACAAATTTCATGTGCCAGATGAAAAGAAACTGAATAACACTGGACTTTTTTTTTTTTTTAAATCTTTACTGAGTTTTTTTATCCATTTATGCGAACGTCCTTATTATGTAGGCACTTATATTTTTCAATGCTAAAGAAAAATTACATAAATGTTTATTTTTTAATTTTTTCTGACAATTTGCTTTGTAAAATAATGTAAAAAATTTACATATAATGCAATTCTTACATACATTTTTTAAAAATTCGTAAATTTCGTCATTTATGGGAAATGCACACAGAAAAAGGTAAGCTTTTTTTTCTTACTACCTTCAGTACATTTCAAAGTCCTAGACGCGTGCAGGTTTCGGAGTGTGACCACCACCCACAGAACAATGGGCAAGAGTAGATTTTTTTAAATTCATATATTACTCATCTCTAGGATCATAATATTCAATTTCTAGAGTTTTAGTTAAAAAAATTATAAAAATAATATAGCGTGAGTCAAAGGGTTGAAGAAATGAATCTCAGTTATTTGACTGGATTTTATTTGAACTGTTCAGCATTTCTACACACAAATTATGATTTAAAAATTATTTCTAATTAACTAATTACTGAACCTACAATATAATACCATACCCAGTCAATCTGGTGTGCTAAATAAGACATAATTTCTGTCATTAAATAATTAAAATTATCTGATTATACCTTTCAGCAATCTTCCTGTAAGATATACTCATAATGCAAGAAATGAACTTCACTGATTGCATTTTGGCTACACAGTCTCCAGTTTTATCCTTCTCAATTCAGTAAAATTTCACTGTGGCATATCAGCAGATATTCTATGCTGTTTTCAAAATATTTGCATCTTATCTAATTACAACACTTTTTACTTCATGAAAATCACTAAGCTCTTTGCATTTGCTAATATTTTCTCCATTCAACATGTTTACTATGCATGTCCATGATTGTTTCAGAAATTTCAAAATCAGTCATTATAAGAAACAATTGTACACTACCGAAGTCTATGTTTTTTTTTAATTACTAACCAACTGTAATGTTAATAACAAAAGATAAATGAGTCATCACAATTAATTTATCTCTAATTACTGGAATTAAAAGCAAAGATGTAAATTTATTGGCTATACACCTGTAAATGAACTTTGATTATTAGCACAGCAGCTATGAATGCCTCAAACAATTTTTCCATCCAGTAAATTGGTATCAGCACAACCATGTGAGTGGAAGTCTCCAAATTTTCAGAATTTACCAAAATGTGACAACCATGTGCATAACAATTCTTCGGTTTTAAAAAGCAGCAATACCATTTTTATACACATTCTTTTTATTGCATTTCAAGTTTCAATGGCTTTTTTATACAAACAGTAACTTTTTTTTTTGAGGGGGGGGGTCTTAAAATTTAAATATACACTTGTGAGATTTGCCTGCGATGGATGAAACTGTGTTAAAATTTATGTGGGAATTTCTGCAGCCAAACCACAGACTTATTAAAGGGAACAACTATCTTTTGAATCTATTCTTAAAGTGATCACCATGAAATTCCGGCCAGAACAAAAGACGAAAAAACACTTTAAAATATATTGATTCATTTTTGAGATAAATACTTAATTAAAATGTAAAATATAAATGTAATAGTGTGTGTGTATAATATATATATATATCATTAAAAATTAAAAAAAGAAGTTCTAAAATAAATCTAAACCAAATTTAAAATTTGTTGTATTATTATTACTTTTTTGAAACTGAAATCACCTCGACATAAACCCTGATATTTTTTAGAATAGAAGTAAATGTTAATTGTATAGAAATTGTTTTTTATTCATTTTCCTTTTATCTTATTTTTAAAAATGTCTAGTAGGATGTTTAAAAGTAGTTTAACCAATTCAGCAATTAAAAAAATCTTTCAGTTTTACAGATTTTGGTACATAGTTCATTTGAATAATTCTGGAGAATTTGCAGGGTTGTTCAAATTACCCTTTCACCTTTTATAAATTATCAAAGTAACAAATAATATATGACATGAATAGAAAACTATACAAGTTTTATGAAAATGTTCTATGTCAATTACTTTAATTCAAATACATCATTAGGATGATAATTAAAATTTTGCCATATTTCCTCAATACTGCTACCTCTGCGCAATGAAATGCAGCTTCTGAAATTACACTCTTGTGAGTAGAAGTGTCATAAATATAAAACCTTTAATGCATCTCAAAAGGAAAAATTGCATGGCTTAATGACTAAGGGCAAAACAATTAGCTTCTCATCTGACAATTAAAGTTTGCAACTGCTGTAATGGCTTAGTTCTTAGTTGTTCTTAAGTGGCACTATTATTAATTTTCTCAATAACAAAAGGAAAGTCTCTCTGATTCTTTCAATACCATCTTCACTACACCATCTTCCTATGCATATTCTTTAACAAATGCAGCACATAAAAATAATAATAATAATAAAGAATATAGAATTACAATTTTCTCTAAAAAAATGTTTTTCATGGAAAGCAATGACAGTGACACCATCCTTTGCTGACATCCTAAAAATTGGAGATTTTTTTTTTCACTAAATGCAAAGTAAATTAATATACTCTTAACTAATGCTGAACTGTATTCATCTGAAACTGATTTGATCATTTTTAATAACTAGCATATAGGGATTCCAATGACCAGTGACAGTTTATTTACTAAAGAACTAGACAGCAGATTTCATTGCCAGTTATTTACTTACACTTTATCAACATGGGATCTCTGAAAATGTATAAATAAAAAGAATATCCTGATAACGAATAAATATAGTTAAGATGAACTTAAAATAATAATAAAAATATCCAAGCAATAGATGATCATGAATAACACTGAAATGACAGCAAGGCATGTGGGGCTATATAACGGTATAAAATGCAGAGCTGTGGAGTCAGAGTTGGGCAGATTTTGGGGTAAAAGGAGTCAGAGCTGGAGTCGCTAAAAATGGGTTAACTCCAACTCCAGTTTTTTGTTGGACAGTTTGAATTTGAAATGAAATTAAAATGAATTGAAAAAAAATTAATGATAAGCCGAGTTACTATTTTTATTTATGAATTATAGTTATTTTCTATTTTATTGACGTATTAATAAATAAATATAAGGGAGGAGGATGGATGTGATATTTGCCATTAGTGATTCAACTGATTCATTTAGTTACAAATTTCACTAGTAAATTTACTTAAGCAGCAACAGCAGCAAGAACTCCCAAAACTGATGTCATTCTTAGGAAGCGAGCAGGAAAAAGAGCAATCATTGATCAAGCAATGTGATAAGGAAATACATATTTGATGATAAAGAGCTTGTTAGAATTAAGAACTTTTATGGAAGATGTAGATAATCCTAATGTTTCACTAACAGAAAGACTGTGGAATGATCTTGCAGAATTGGAAACTTTTCCTTCTACATCATATATCGCCACAAAAAAGCTGCAGTCTGAAGAATTGACAGGAGGTGAGAATAGGATGCTTGTTCTTTCTGAAATGGAGGGTTTATTGCAGAAGGAATCATTTCTTCAATGAAGAAAAGAAAAACTATTTTCTAGACAATGAGATCTTGCTGGGCTCAATATATGTAGATCCAAAATACTAAAAATAAAATTAATGAAAAAATAAAAACAAAATTTCTACACAACCTTTGAAGAAATAGAAAAATATGATTGCGCTTGCAAGACACCTCTTTGTGAACTTTTATAACTTTTAGAACAAATTAGATCTATGGCCCTCCAACAATTCTTCGGCAAGATCCAGATCTTGCCGAAGCTATACTGTTTCTTAGAAATAACTAATGCCACTTTTTCCATTTCATAATAAATGCTAATTAATATAAATAATTTGCTAAGCCATCAATTTTTTTTTCTGTAGCATCTATTACTTCTTTTATATTAAAAAAAATAAGCTGTAACCCATGTGTATATGTTTACATATATATATGAGGGAGTTGGAGTCAAGTCAGAGTCTTTAAAATTCCAGGAGTTGGAGTCTGGCATTTTCCCTACCGACTCCACAGCTCTGATAAAAGGACATAAACAGAAGAAATTTTTATGAAAATTATGAAATACTGAGAATTCTTTTTTAATTATCATTATTATAATCTTCAAAATCTAAAAACACCACTAACATTTACATAATGATCTTTGCTTCCATGACTGGAATTCAGGATATATATAAAGATCACAATTTGCCTAAAGTTTTGAATTGATGTACATATATTACACATGCAAATTGCAGTTAAAAAAATAAAAATGACAGAAGGAAATCATTCATGTTCTGATACATTGTCACAGTTACTGGAATAGGTCATGTAAAAAAAAGTAACAGAATATATCTACAAAGGTTATAACCAGACAGAATATATTTACTCATAATCATTCTTCTACTTATGCAACATTTTGCAAGTCAGAAAGTGACATCTTAATGTAAAAATGGGCTTTTTCTTCTCACACTGCCCCTGTCCAGTACAATATAGTGTAGTAAGATCAATGTTATACCAATCAACATAATGACTTCATACAAATCAAACTGAGTATACTGAGAACTAAAAGAATTCTATAAATACCTTAGCATCTTTACAAGCAATGGTAAAAAGTTCAGTAGATGATGGTTGTAAAGTATGTATTTCTTTATATACATTAGTTAGGCATAAAAGTGCACCAAGTATTGACATAGCTTCTGTTCTAGGAACCTAAAAATACACAAAGTATACTTTTATTAAATCATCATCAGATTTAAAAAAAAAAAAAGCAGAAATATGACTACAGAATAATTACCCCTTTAACATCACTTGATGAGACAACAGTGTCAGCAGCATATATAAAATCCATTATTAACAGTGTGCTGCCAGGAAGGCCAATAGAAAAAAATTTTGGACCACATGATTTCACAATTATATTCATGATATCCTAAAAGAAAAGAACATATCAATCAAGATTACAGATTTTATGCAATTTGTTTGAAAAGATCAAGTATAAAAGTTATGAGAACTGAAAACAAACCTGATCATTAGACATAAGGCCATAATGCAAAGCATAATAAAACTGTACAAGATAATCTTTCTGAAGAGGTAAGTCATGACGCCGCAATATTAACATACAAAGAAGCTGGTATGCAAGGAGTTTTCCTTGCTTGTAGTTTTCAGGTAAACTTAAGGCCTAAAAATGAACAGGTAAGATACATTTTTAAATTCATAAATAGTACAGCATAAAAGCCCTTTAAGTAAAAATTCATGTATACTTTTAATTTTTTCTTTTTTTTTTTTTTTTTACCTGGAATAACCATGGTGTTATGAGTAACAATGGAGGCAGAAACTCTGGTGGTGGTGGAGTTGAGTGGCTATCTACAGTTACACCCAAATTGTCTCTAATCTGTCATTTAAAAATTAATGCAAAATTAAGATTAATCTAAAAGCAACATAAAATATTTAAAACAAAATCAATATTTTCAGGTACGTTTTCATTTTCAGAAGATTATAATTTTAATATTTACATTATCAGTGCACAACCACATTCGTGCATTTTGGTGAATCTTACAAAAAAGAAAAAAACAATGCTTTTGTGTTGTAAAAAAGTATTTATTACATACATATTTATCACCACTGATTAGCAAACTATATGATTTCAAAGTAATAAATGCAATTTTTCATCTCTATTGTTATTAATTACTAGCTGTACTTGCGAAATGACATTAGTGGATTCATTAAAACCATTACATATTTTTCTTTTTAGCAGTAAATATGTTAGGCAGCTGAACATGTCAGCTGTTAACTATGACAAAATCTTCAAAGACTATTTGCTTTGAATGGCTTCTGATGGAGATTAAGAATAACTGGCTTATATTTATATCATAGGTGAAAATATATGAAATATTCTGAGCATTAAGGCTGTTTAAGTGAGATGAAATATATGCTTTAATGACGATATTTTCTCCTCAACTAACATTCAACTTATGTATACAAATTGGCCTCTTCAAGAATTCAATGACCAAATTCAAAAATAGTAATCCCATTACGGTGAAAATGGGTCTCATATTCCTACAGAATTCTCCACAGTCAAGCGGTATCATTAACCTCCCTCGTAGCGAGGAAAGTCAGAGCACATGCCAACTGTTTATCATAGTCATTGTGTTTCAGTTCCTGCATGCGGCTTATCTTGTAAGGGTAGAAGTGAAGAATTTTCTGAAAGATTTGCCATACAATTGAAAGATTCAAATCCACTACTCCTAGGCACAGCTACTCCAGCAACAGTCTTATGGGTGCCATCAATGACTGCAGTTGCAATATTAGTAACTGTCCATTCTGACACTGATTCCTACTCTCTACCAAACTAAACTGCTAAGGATCCTCTTTATTCAAACTTTAGAATTATGCCTTTCAATGCATTATTTGATAACATGTCTTTGCATAGATTGTTATAACTCCTAACTCAGTAAAAGTGGCAGTTGCATTCAGTTGATGAAGATAAAATGCTTCACAAGTAATGTGTGCTGATGTAAAGTGAGATGCATGTTGAGCCCAGCTAACATTTGGAATATCCTTCTTAGGGTGTTTCATTTTTCCAAAGATATGATTTTCATATGACTTTGCTTACACCCCAAAAGCCTCAGTGATGTAAAAGATATGCAGTCAAAAGTCGTTAATTCGGACACCCATAATCCGGAATGATCTATAATTCGGACCTCAAAGCTAAAACCTTTCTGTGCATGCGCCGCGTCGACACATGCGCATAGGTGTTTACGCGTGCATGTAAAACTTTACGACTGCGCATATGCGTGTGCGCAAGTGCAGAATACGTTTTCGCGTGCGCGTTTTATGTATAACGGACGGTATAAGCTAAAATTATCTAATTATCTATTTCAGTTAATGTTGATGATTGCGTTGTTCCTTAATCTTCGAATTGGATACGGCTTATTATTTTTTGCAGACTGTAAGAGCAATTTTATAAATGTAAATTTGAACTTTCGATTATGTCAAATAGAATTTCCGATGCTGGAGCTCCCAAAGAATCTACAAAATGAAAGTATGTTTCGATGTCCATCAAACAAAAAGTGCAATTGCTGCAAAAAATGGATAAAGACATGAAGAAGGTGACAGAGAGGTTAGTGAAAACGAAAAAATTTCGATTGACAAGTTAGTCGGCATTCTCGGCACAGCAATTACATGACTTGAACAGCAGAACTTTGTAACTGAACAAGAAATTATGTCTGTTTATAGAATTAAAGAGAAAGTATTATCACATAAAACGAAGCAACTTAAACAACTTACATTGAAAGAAATGTTTAATAAAGTAAACAAATAAATATTAAGCTTTTTTTTTCGTAAATTTTGATACCCTTTATATCATAATTGTTCTTTATTTCATAATTACGGTTTCATATTTTTAATTTTAGAATTTCTGCATGCCATCTTACGAGATTTAAACTCATGATCTATAATCCGGAAAAATCGATAATCCGGAAGTCCCGACGAGTCCGGATTAAAGACTTTTGACTGTATATGCCAAATTTCAAGAACACTGGATAATAGTTAGAGACTGAACACACTGATCATTTTCAACTGAAACTCAGTAGTTGATGAAGATAAAATGCTTCACAAGTAATGTGTGCTGATGTAAAGTGAGATGCATGTTGAGCCCAGCTAATATTTGGAATACCTTTCTTATGCCTTGCGCTGGGCTTTCTTAGGGTGTTTCATTTTTCCATAGATATGATTTTCATATGACTTTGCTTACACCCCAAGTCTCAGTGATGTAAAAGATATATATGCCAAATTTCAAGAACATTTGATAATAGTTAGAGATTGACCACATTGATCATTTTCATCTGAAACTCACCTTCTGGGGTGTAAACACCAACTTGGTATCTTATCATGGCAGAGTAGCGCTCTGGAAAAACAATAATTACAAACTTGGTGGTTTCAGAACCCGAGAAAAGATAGTTTATATGGTCAGACTGAGGGGGATTGGCGTAAGACCTAGAGCGAGAGGCACTGGCAGCTCGGATGGTCCGAGTATTCTGGGTAATGTCCTTTGGAGACAGACAGCTCACGCAGTATTAACGGGGGCACTACCGATGACCACTTCCAAGTTCATAAGTGTCTGTAATATGCCTTGCGCTGGGCTAGTCTCTGAGACCCATGGTTTTGACATGTGCACGGTTCATCCCCTGGGGTATAAGAGAGAGTTCGTTTAAAAAAAAAACGGTATAAGAGAGAGTTCGTTTTAAAAGTCTGTGCCATGGGATTGAGGCTCCCTGTGGTGTAGCAAGCTCAGTTTGATTATAATCTCTTCTTAGACGGATAACTATGAATAATGACCAGCCCTCCTACGCAATACAGAGGCTGGTCTTGGACCGTCATCTCAGTTGCATTTGTTTGCAGGAAAGGTTAACAAAAGTTGATTGATTATCTCAAACTAGTGACATTTTTAACGTTGAAGTGCTTTGTACTAACTGGCTTCTCATGTATTCATTTACAGAGCAACTGCAAGGAGCCTTGAAAATCTTAAGAGTCACTCTTTGAAAATCCTCCTCATATGGTCTTGCACTGGGACAGTAAACTATTGTCCTCAATTGCCCATGAGAGTGCCAAAACACTGGAAAATAGAGTTGCAGTTTTAGTGACTGACAAAAATTTTAAGCAATTGCTTGGCATACCTACTGCCCTGAAAGGCACTTGTAAGCAGATGGCTGAAGTAGTTCTTCTGGAAGTGGATCAATTTCAGTTACGAGGCAATACCATTAGTATCTCTTTTGATACTACAGCATCTAATACAAGACTGACCCAAAGGGCATGTACCAGATTTGAAAGGGACTTCAAACAAACATTGTAACAGGTTAGTTATCTGTTATTACACCTGTGAACTAATACTGAAAGGAGTAGTGTTGTGGCATACCATCAAGTAGTCCTAACATTCAGATTTTTCAGAGATTCCAAAGTCTGTGGGCTTCTCTTGATAAGAAGTCAGATATGATAATGCTGGATGAAGAAAGTCCCGTTCAAGGGTTTTCAGAAGAACAAGAGAAAATTGTTCATTATATCCAAAATATCCCAAAAGACGGAAGTCATCGAAGAGAAGACTACAAAGAGTTGTTACAACTCTCACTCCTGTACCCAGGACATTGGTCTCAAAACAACTTCAGTTTCATGATCCCACATGCTCTGCATCTAGCCAGGTGGATGGCAAAGGCAATATATGCACTGAAAAATATCTTCTTCATTAAACAGTTGAATATTCCTCAACAAAAACTGAAAGGAATGAAAAAGGTTGCACATTTTGTCAGCCTCATATAGGTTCACTTTTGGCACACGGCAAGTCAATGGGCTACAGAGAATTATTTGGATACGCTACAGCTTCTGAGCATTTACCCAGATGCAGACATTAAAAAAAAAAAAAAATGCTTTTACAGTTCCTAAGAGATACCTTTGGTATCTGTCAGAAACAAAATAAGATTAGCCTTTTCGAGCGAACTTATTTCTCAGGCTGATAAGGGAAATATGATTAATAATTGAGAAACCAAAGAAAATGCAAAGAAAATGGAAATAAAGCAATTACAGGATAAAAAACCTAGTTTTTGAAGGAAAAGACCTGAACCATTTCATTACTAATTAAACACAGACATTCTTTGAACTGTTTGGAACCTATGATGCAATAAAATACTGGAGAACCCTTGAAGAAGTTGCGTAAACACTCTTAAGGTGGTCAATGATATTGCAGAAAGAGGAATTGTTCTGACAAAAAAGTTTAACAAATCGGTCAGGGATGGACAACAAAAACAATTCTTGTTGAAGATAGGTAGCTGAGTATCACAGAAAAGTTTTTACTAAGCAAACAAAAGAAGGGATTGCATCATTCAAAGTTGATTAATGTAACACATTTTGCTATCATACTATCTATTAATCTTCGTGTCCAGTTTTAGTATTATTTTAAGCTTGTCATTTCTAGTTTTTCTAATAAAAGTAATTAATATTCAAAAATCATACATTTGTCTTTTTTTAACAAAACTGATCAAAATGTGCAACCTCAAAATATTATCCAATCTTCTTGGAATTTAGCATATATATCTTTTACATTACTGAGAATTCGACAGTAAGCAAAATCTGCAAAAATTTTATATTTTAATTTTTCCCTTACAAAATGAAACACCTTAATCCTTCAGTGCTTTCCCCTTCACTGATGCTGCTGTCATTTGCATAACTGAGCATTTGTATTCTCAAATTTTATATGCACTTCTTGCAAATTTTCAGTTGTGTAGACTAGAACAGAGCCACATATTCCTCCAAGGGCAACTTTTGGAACTATTTGTTTTTTCTTGTAGAGTCTTTTTTCCCATGTCATCATGAGTGCCACTACCAAATTTGGTGTCATTTCAACTGATAAGACTACAGATGGCTTTAAGTAGTGTCAGTTAATATATATATATATATATTAACTGATTAATATATATATATATATTAACTGACACTACTTAACGGGAGTTGGTTTGTTCCTCTTGAAAAGCCAACTAATTTCCGATCAATGACAATGATTACATGTTTTTAATTTTTCCTTTTACAACTGAAATTTTATTCTTCATGATGATTTAACTCCAGTCCCCGTTAAAACATTATTAACATTTGGCTTTCAAAACATCTTTCAAAATATAACTTACCAGTATGGATTCACTCTCTTAAAATACTTCTACTTTAATTAAACTTAGGAGATAATATAATCAATTAATCAATATTGTTTAGGAAATAATATATATATATATATACTGAGTAATTACCTTAGATTCACTAACAGTAATATTATAACTATTTGATCAGTCATTGGTAAACAGTAATTAAAAAAAAATAAATAATAAAAAATCTGCAACTCTTAAAACTCATTGTATTTTCAGCGACATTTAAATGGTAAAGGTATCCCTTAGAATCTAAGAAATATCATTTAAAAAATAAAATTATTTTATTTTTCCAAGGAAATTCTCTAATGAAATGTCTCAAAGGAAACAGTCTTGTTTCATCCCCCCCCTTTTTTTTTTTTTTTTTTTTTTTTTAAATAATCCTTGAAAAATATTTTTGTTTTTTTTACCCTTCAATTTTTTTTACAAGTTTTAATTTTATTTCTTAAGTCATACTGTTATTTAACAGAATTACAAAATATTTTTCCTGTTTACTAAATAAGCGCATTTCATTTTTCAAATGAAGTTTCAAGATTTAGATTTCATTAATTCAAATTTATTGAAGATGTATACCAAAATTACACCAAGCAATTATTATGATATTTTTTCTTTTGAAGACATTTTGAGGATTTCAAAATTCATATTATAACTTGATTTCAATTTAGAATACAAGAAATTAAATAATAGTATTTCATGCTGAAAAACTTACTTTTATTAAAAGCTCAGAAAGATCAACCAGGTACTTCATAACTTGAGCATGGATCGATGAATCTGTAATTTTATTAATATCACCTAAAGACCCTAACATCCTTTTCCACAGGACAACTGCCACATCAGATAACCAACCTCGAGTGGTTCCTCCTGACATAACACTTCTTGCTTCTACTGAATTGAAAGCTCCAATTTCTATTAAAAAAAAAGATTATGCATCACTATTAAAAAATATGAATATAATTATGATTAATTGTTGCATCTACATTATATGCTTGCCTTAAAACTCAATGTGGATGAAAATCAAATAACATTAAAAAATACAATTAGTTCTTATTACTATTATTATTATAAAACAAGTTATTTTAGTACGGATTGATTTTGCCAGGTCACGTATTCTTGGTGATAATTTTTTAGCTCAAGAAACAAAACATTAAAAATATGTACCAATGATGTAGATAAACAATTAAATAATTCAAAATTTCAAATTTATTTCCAAAGAATTCCATGTTAAATAAAAGGAAAAATATGAAAAAAAAAAAAAAATGCTGATAAAACTTACACTTTTGTTATTGCAATGTAGTTGTATGGAATGGAAAAACCATGCTGGAAGGTCATAGATAGTTGACAGTGTTTGTCATGGAATAAAAGGGTATTTTTTAAAATGGTTGAAAACAGACCTGCAAAAACTTTAATGGAGATAATTACAGAAAGATGACCAACAACTCAATAATATTTACGGCTTGGTGGAAAGAATATTCAGTGCCACGGTAGCTAAAGGCTACCCAAAATGTCACTGGAGATGCTTTGTTGCTATAAAATTATCGCCAAAACTATGTGACTCAGTGTAATCGATTAGTACTATTATTTCAAATGCATTAATATTTAGGCATCCCTACAGTACTGCATTCCATTACTGTACGAAATAAAATTAATATTTCCTTTTAAAATAACTTTTACAAGAGTCTAAATAACACAGTCACACACACAGTTAAGAAATAACACAACAGTTAATAAATAATTTTTAATTTGCTGATCTCTACATATAATAAAAGAAAGAGTCTGTGTGTGTGTGTGTGTGCGTGCGTCTTTCGTTCGCGCTGCGCGTAAGCTAATAGACCCACAGGTACGAAATTTGGTACATAGGTGCATCTAGACAAGAGCCAGCGCACTTCGAAGCGATTTTTTCGAAATTCGAATTCGAATTTTTTTATTTTATGTTTTGTGACGAAATCGCGTCATTTTGAGAATTAATGGGCTACAGGAATGCGAGATTTTACTCTACACACTCCATTTTCACATCGTCATGAAACGTAGGCACTTTGCTATTTTACAAACTTAAAATAAATTTCGTGTTTCAATAAATCGATTAAATACGAATTTATTTAACAAAGTGAGCTTAACACCTTTTCAACAGGACTTTTTCTAAAAAAGTTTATTTTTAAAAATGTACAGTTTATTTTTCTTTGATTTTTGGACACGTTTATCCTTGTGACTGCTTTTACAAAAAGAATTTTGGAAAAATGATAATATTTTGTATTTTTTAAAAAAAATTTTAAATGAAGCTTCCGAGTACACTTCTCACATCTCACATCTTTAAAAATGTGATTTTGGCAACAATTTTCCTTTCTTATTGGTGCTGATAGATTTTTGATGAAATCGCATTTTGAATAGTTTCATTCTTTTAGAAATATGGGTTTGGCAACAATTTTTCATCGTATTTCTCATGTCACTGTTTTTAAGAGATTGGCATATTTCATTATAATTTATATATATAATACTTTTTTTTTATATATATAAAGTTCTGCAGAGTAAAATTCTGCGCTGAATTTTTGTTTTTTTAGTTTCTTTCATGTTATTTTTTGCTTATTTCACTGTTTGTAAGATATTGAAAAGTTTTACTTGATTTTTTTTCCTTCAATGGAAATTTGGTTAATTTTTTTATATATTAATATTTGTATTAAGGGATACAGCTTATATCATTAATTATGCTTTGCTTTCCAGATTTTTGTTTGTATTCTTTTATGTTATTTATTGTTCATTTCACTGTTTTTAAGATATTGAAAAGTTTTGAGTGATTTTTTTTAAGAAATAAAGTTCTTAACCACCTTTATATATACCATTTGAGTTCTTAAGATTTTGAAAATGGAAGTTGGTTAATTTATTCAGTAGGATAATTACTATTTGTATTATTGATATTGCTTATTTCACTGTAATTTTGTTATACGTAATAACTTTTTTTATGAAGTTGTTCTGCAGAGTAAAATTCTATGCAGTTTTTAAATTTAATGTTTGGTGTTCCTTTCAGCCATTTTTCCGGTACATTTAAAAGCCAGACGAAGGCTGGCAGCGAGGCTGCTAGTATTTATATAAAATTAGCTTGGCCTAAGAAATTAAAAGAAATTTTTAAATGAACATGTTAACAGTAAAATTTTCAAAATGATAGAATATAAATATAAAGCATACACTGCTATGCAGAAACTAGAAAATGACATAGACATACATAAACATGTAAAGACTTAACACAACATATACTACTATACACATACATAAACATGTAAAGACTTAACATATGCCACTATGTTAGAATTCTCAATGACACAAAAATATAAGAAAGAATATTAAAAAAATTAATTAATTTTTCTCCCATGAACGACAAAAAATATTGAGTTCAGCTTTCATAAAAATAATTTTCTCAATATAAACTACTGCATCATTATAAATCAAAATAATAACTATATTTAATAATGTAATTTTATATTTTGCTGAAGTCAGTAATATTTTATATGAAATAATATTACACTCCCACTGTGTTAAAAAAACTTGATTTATTAATGGATATTTTATGAATTAAAGAGCAATATTTATTCCAAAACATAAATGGTATCAGAATGAAGAAAGTTTTAAGCAAAAAATAAAAAGAACAAGAAGCTTCTGGAAGATACAACAACAACAGCAAAAACAAAAAAAAAGGTTTCGAATATTGCTATGCATAGCAATAAAATCAACAGAATCCCAACTGCCTTAATTTTGATTATCGAGATCATATCCTTAACCTCATTTTTTATGGACACTGCTTTAATTCTGCATGCAATCTAATTTTAGATTTGGAGAGGGGGTA